GGTTAAACTTTCATTGAATTATTTATGCATTGATAACTATATGCCTATAATATACCATAACCTACGAATTTGATGAATGTATTATAACTCTAATCATGAAAATATGTACTTCATTAAAAAATTTCTTGTTAAAATCATACTACCTACTTATATACATTTAGAAGATTTTCCTCGTCATAAAAACTGCTAGACAATTAATAATAAATAATRTCAATATTCATTAGCCATTATAATCATAATATTTAATATGGATACATTTAATTACGTTTTTTAAATATTAATACTTTAAATGTGTTCTGATTAGTGTAAAAGCTTCGAGAATGGTGTTTTAACGAAATGTTTTTATCTTATACCTTAGTTTACTATTTATAATATACACATTTTGTTATCCATCATTGACTAGAAAAGTAGGAAAWATTATGTACCTACTCATATTTAAGTATGTGTACGACCCTAGATCAACAGTCAACAAGATGACTGAATTTATATCTCAAGTATATTTTTGTCATCATTTAACGTTCATATAACGTATATATTATTTTATTAATAAGACCACTTTACTTATTATTAGTATTATAACTTAAGTATGGTCGTAGCATACCTATAAAATAATTATATTAAACTATATTATAGTGTAAGCATTGTAGGTAGGTACCTACCTTATTGTTTTATATAACAGTGGTTTTCTCGTTACTCATTGTCGGATCACATCGTTGAAACTGACTAATTTTAAGTTAATCGATCAATACCGCAGTGAGTCATTTGAATCGTTATTACGCATCATTATCACAATTCGCGACACTAGGCAGTGTTGGCCATGTCACATTGAATTTCGACCAAGGTCGTCTTTTTTTTTATTTAACATACCTAATAATATTACGTATAGTGTATATATATATATTATATTTAAATTCTTTATAATCGTATACAATATAATCTTTATTATCAATATTAAAATAATTGTTCCTATAGCTGTTGCATAGTTTATCATAATACTTATTGTTACAATGTTTCTCGAGAATTATACTAGTAAATTATTGATTATCATAAACCTATATTGTAGTGTATTCTGATTTTAATTAGCTACTTAAAATTATTTTTGTATTATATTTCTTGAAATTTGAATGTTTATTTTGTTATCAAATTAACTTATTATGTTTCTTGTAAAGTTGCAAAAATAATTGTGTTCAAAAAAAAAAAAATATTGGAACAACAAACGTATAGACCTATCCCTCCTCACTACCTCAGATATTTGTGTTGATGAGGACATTTTCCTGGATAGGAACGTATTGATACTGTTTTTGAAAAAAAAGCTGACGTCTTCCTATATTATTTTAATTCTTTATAAATTTATATTTATTATTTGTTGGTTGTCATCTCATTTGATGCAATAGAAAGTTGTATAATAATAAATAGGTATATTTAAAATAAACTAAGTATTAATATCAGATTTTTAATTTAGTGACTTTAAAGATTTAGATATTTAAGAATGACTAAATAATTGCCTTAAATATTCGACATTTCTGATTCTTTTATCATCCTTAAAGACACTAATCTAGAAAAAATTCGCCAATGCATTTTAACCGTAATAATATCCCTAAAAATTGTTTTAGCAATTTTTCAGCAAACAAATAATAAATAGTAACTTATAAACACGATTACGATGTAATACCGACTGACCAACTATTATTTGTTACTGAAGTACAAAACTACAGGTGCACAAAAACGAATGTAGAAAAATAAGCCACGGAAAAAAGTCAAATTACAATAACTAAATATATAACAATTAAAATTAAAGTATTAAATTAGGTATTATTTAAAAAAATTTTACACATTATTGGTCATATTTTATTCAATGCATAGCATTTTCTTTCATTTTATTCGGAAGTAAATTCCCTTACTTTTGTTAATATATAACTTTTATAAACTATACTTTCAGTCTCGCCCATCTATACAAATACATTTGTACAAGAGTACAATTACAAAAAACATTTATRACATCTACATACTGTTTGTTGCAAAAATAAAAATCAGAAAACGTATTGGAAAATGCTGACCAAAATTCTAGAAAAATGTTCTGAAYGGCAATTATATTCGGATCCAACGATYTTTCATATAGCTTTGAAAAATCTGTAATAAACACAGTGAAATCTGTGTTGGGAGAGCATGTGCCTATTAATAGTTGTTTTTTACCATCTTACACAAAGAACATAGCAGATCGCATTAAGTTTAGTTAGTTTAAAAATTAGAGTGAATTGATTTATTATGAAATTTAAAGGTAAGATTTTGTAGTCATTGTCATGTGCTTTTTATTAAATTTTAATTTTAAAGCTAGATTTTGTATTTTAAAATCGTAAATTGTTTGTACATCTTAAAACACTTTTAATTCGCTTTAAAATTAAAAGATAATAAAAAGTATATAATATATATCATAGCTCAAATAACAATCTTATCTATAAATTGTATATTGATTCAATTCACTCGAATTTTTAAACTAACGAAGCTAAACGTGATATGGATGAATGAAAAATTTGGTATGTTAAGTACTTGTGAGACGGAGACAACAAATGTCAATGTAACTTATCGTTCCCCTTAGGCATAGTATAATAATTAATATTAGATCCAGACAATTTTCAGCTACAACATTGTTAAGCATTTCAGAAGTAGTTTTAACTTACATTTTTTTTCCAATCAGATTTTYTATTTTATTACAATTAATTTCATAAGTTACCTAATGAATACGCATTACTTATTTTGTAATTTTACTTAAATAAAGTAATGACTATTTAAACAACATTATTATTAATACATTAGTAATTTATTTAATTATATTACAATTTTTTGCATACAAACAATATTACGAATGTATCTATGTAAATATGTTAAATAGGTTTAAAAATATGCAAATCTATCGCACCTAACCTTATTATTTTAATACTGAGTTTTATAAAATAATCAATATAACGATAAATGACTCATTCAACCACCCTCTGTCCAGTTTAAATAGTGGAACTGTTTGAAAACCACTGGCGTCGACGATGAGTCACTTGTTCCTTGTCGGTTGGGGCAGACGAAAGGGGAGAAAGTGTCGTCTTATGTTTAGTGTGTATATCTACCGTTATGAGTTTTCCATTAAAATAGATGGTGAATAGTTGTATTATTTAGCAATTTACTCAAACGTCAACACRMTATAAACATCAATTTCGTCTGTCCTCGTATACAAAAAAATTAATAATTATTATCCTTTTTATTTGTAGATACATAATAARGACTTTTCAAAGAGTACTATTTCAAGTAATTAAATTTGATTACTAAAAGCTCTGATACTAAACTTTGACAATTGTATGATGTAATTTGAGTTACCAATTATTGGCTGTATAATAAATATAATTCTAGTTATAATACATTTAATCATTTTGATCCAATCCTTAATTTTCTTCTTTACTATTAAAAATTATTCTAAAAATCAATATTTAGGGTTTAATGATAATTTATTTGCATTTTCATTTAAATACAATTTTTACCTATCTCATACGTTTTTAATTTGTACCGTTACTTAAAAACATAAACTACCTCATGCATATATGATACTTCACAACACTATATTTATTTTTATTTTTATGGGATAGTAACCAACACGATGCTAATTTAAAATAGCTTTTTATTAATATAATATAAAAGTACATTGGTAGTAATTTACGAGGTAATTTATCATATGACAATTACGTTAGTTGAATTTTCATATTTATGTTTTTTAAGCTATTCAAAATATATTAAAATAATATCTCGCATTTTATATTACTTAATTAATTATTATATCACCATCTTATTAAAATCATTTATCTTTAATCGCAAAGGTTTATATATCGTATAAAATGTATACATAGACCATAGTTGTGTAGAAAATACTTGCTATTTTATTATGCTGTGCTAATGATATTGAGTGCATGACAAATATTGTTTTACTACTTAATTTTTCATATTGCTAGTGTTCGATTATTAACTTGTTTGACATAATACAATTTCAAAAAGTCATATTTATTAATCTATAGGTACTTTAATGTCGGAAAATATTTAAATATATCATTTATTCATTAAAATTTAAAATTATAAACGTATGATTGCATATACCATTTTTTAATATTTAACATTTAAAGTATAGTTATATAAATATTATCATGGGATATTTATATTTTTTTAGTTCGAAATTCAGAATAAATGCAATTATATTACATTTGAACATTTTTTTTTCARTCTCTGCATAAACTATACATTTTGCATTGGGTGTGCATGTCATAGCAATAAGAGTCTCTTAAGTGGCATATAGTGTAACTTAAACATACATCATAATGCAAAGCTAACATAATACAACTAGGTTCAAGGACAAAGGTAATCACAGGATGTATACAAGACATTCCCGTTCAAATTGAATTATGTCTGGTGGCCAAGTCAATCGCTTATCCACTAGTCTATCTATTTAATTTTTATTATTATCAGTGCAACACACTTTTATACGGCTCACGTATAGATGGACGTGTATTTTTAATCACGTACCTTATGCATTCTCGTTTCATTATTTTTTTTAGTTATACAAACCACGAGATTTTCTTTTGAATACTGTGTAGGTATTACCGGAAATCATCACTATCACGGATTCCCAAAATGTTTTAACCAAATATCGATTGTTACTGTCGCGTATTTTATAAATTTTAAACGTGTTGKAACTAATAGTCGTCCGTTTTACTTTTCATTTTAACTGCCAACTGTATGTGCATTGAATAATTCAAATTACTTCGAAAATAATGTTAAATATTGAATAATAAATAGTTAAGTACAGATAATCTGGGTATTAAATAAATTATAATTCTTTATTTTTAATGAACAAATTCCACGCCGATAATTTAGACCAGTGTTTTCACAGATAAGGTTGCAATGGTGTGACATTTAGGTTAATAGTGGGGCTAACGATAACTAATATTTGATTTTTTCGTTATTATTGTTTCAGAATAGTTTGACTAAGAAGCTGTGTTACAAATCAAACGCTGCATAGTGTTTTCTTTGTAATTGTATTAAGTTTTATACACATAGTACGCAGAAAACCGTTTTTTTTTCATTTCGGGGACTAATTGAATAAATTACACAATATGGGAGCCAGACAAAGCAAAAGATCTGTTGACATATCTGCCGGAGCCACAAAAGCGGAAAAGGTTGCAGCTGGAGAACCTTTGGAAAATGGAACAATTACAACTGCTTCAGCTGACGAAAAGCAAGTGGTTGAGGCTAACGGTGGAGTAGAAGAAACAACCAAACAGAATGGATCAACGCCTCATATAGACGAAAAGGTATAATTTTGAATTATATTATTTTGTWAAAAAATTTAAATACTATTTCATTTTAAAGATTGTATTTATCTTATGTCGTGTATGATATACAAATTAACGTATATAGTTTTACTTAATTGTTTGATTTGAGTAATAATGATTAATTTATTGTCCCACATCATGTTAAAAATATTTTATAATTCTATTTTAATAATAGAATGTTATAGCGACATAGATGGCAAACATCTTAATCATGCGAGACTYTTATTATTGAAATGTGTAATAAACTAAATATTTTTATTATTTTTAATATATACTTTAATCCGAATAAATTATTTGAAAAAGAAACATATTTTAAGATGTATAATATTTAAATTGAAACACTATAATTGTATAGCTTCCATACCTAATTATTTTATTTAAAATATTCAGTTGCATTTAAACATTTTTGTTTTTAACGTATGTTAATTTTAGCGTCACGGTTTTCTTCKGTCTGTTATCTAACCTAGACCTTTGATTTGTAGTGGTTTTAYCTTGTTAGTTGTTATGCTCTATGATAGGTATGTAAGTAGTGAAATATTCTCAGTGTAAATCCTATTATCTAATGTTTGGGATGATAATAATTTATCATATTTATTTAAAGATAAATTGATTCATCCAAAAAATTGTATCATTTGTTAAAATAAAATATGCAATATATTTTCTATACTTGTCGAATTTTTATTAAATAAACGATTATGAACACGGACTTAAAAATAATAATAACTTTAACATTTTATTCTACAAATACAGTATCTATTAATTATTTAATAATTAGWTTAAATTGTATTTTATGATATAATATTTTAATTCCTCAATGAAATAACCAGATTAAATTAATTATCCATCTCAATAAATGGTTTTGTTTGTGTCATATTGTGGATTGTCAAAAAATAGTGATTATATACATTATTATATACATCCAAAATGTAAGAACAATGTAAAATCCTAATTACTTTTTTAATATATTATTAATTGCACCATTAATAACCTGAACCGTGAACACGCTCATTACTTAGAAAACTTAACGTTTTAGGAAATATTATTTTACACAGTTGAATTTATTTCCAAACAATGCTTTTGAAGTTAACATAGGTATACTGTCTACTACTTATTCTAGATTCGGGTTTTATAAATCGAATCTTTCTGAAAAATATTCTGCTTCTAAATTGGTATGAAGATAAAAATAATGTATGGCCATTCTTAATCGTAAAAAGCTTAAAAATTATAACGATAACTAAATATTTAAAAAAATAACTTTTATTTTATGAGCGTGGGTTTGAAATAAACAGACCAACAGTCATGTAAAAAAAAGTAGTTTATTAATCTTTTAATTTTTTTATTTTGGATCATCATTTAGAGTCAATATTGCAATAGCTTACAAAATGATRATATGACTTAAATACTGTTATTAAAATTATGATTGTCTCGGACAACATCCTTTTRTGTTATTTGTATAAACACAAAATCACTATCTATTATTTGTCWCATACATCTGTACTTTAAACTTAATTGAATTTATCTATATATTACTTATGCCTATTATAATAATACAATACGTTTTAATATTAGTTACATTATAACTCATGATATTACTATCTAAGTAATAAAATAGGTACCAATATTTAAATGATACACTATAATAGGCATGAATAGTGAGGTAATGTGAACATTTAAATTTATGTAGGTATATATACAGTGAATTTTTTCAAAATAATTTCTTAATATTCCGTGATTTCTCGATCAACTTAATAGAACACAGTATGAATAATATTCTTTGCAAATATATAAATAAATACAGCAGATTAAAAAATATTTAACAAATGGTAAATATATGTCATAATGTCAAATTATATGCCAAGAATTATTTTAAGTTTCTGAGAATCAAGAAAATAAATTATTGTTTGCGTAGGTTTATAGTTTTCTCCCTAATCGTTTAAATAATTTACTCAAAAATAAAAGAATAAAATAATTAAAATATTAAAATATTTCCCCTTGTAAAGAAATTAAAAATGATTATGCTTCCTAATRGCCAAGAATGCGATTTCGATTTACCAGATTATCATTTGATGACAGCTTAATAATTTTGAATCCAACCAAAAATTAGAGTATAGCGTGCATCCGAGTTAATTCCAATGGTTAATTGTTTGTATCAACTATAATTAAATGAATTATGTATAGGTACTGAGTTTTATGKAAAYTACTGTTGAAAATTATTATTTTATATCCTAGGATATGGTTTGCATCGTTTTAATAACTTTATCACAATGGTTTAAAACATAATATTAAGTTTTTAATTTAATTTTACTCAATCTTAATAAAATATGTTTGGTTCAAATTCAACAATACATTTATCATATCCATACCTGGATAGAGCCATAGTAGTATATATTATCTATGGATAGAGCCCGTGGTTCTTCGTATTTAAGCTTCACCTTTTTCCGTCCTTAGATCTAACGCTTTTTATAGAGTTTTTAATTGATAAAAGTAATCATAAGAGATGATAAGAAGTGATATTATGAGTTTTATCCCGGCGTCTCAATACTAGCGAAATAGATATTATTAGATAACAACCAAAACAAAATAATGATTAAAAAATTGATTATATTGTTTAATGATTGTTAAAAATAAGTTTGGCATTCATATATATATATAAAAACATGCTAATGAATTTTATATAGATATTTTAATTTTTTTGTTACGTTGAAATATCATAAAAAAACACCTGTACTGGCTGTACTAATGAATAGGTCTATAGTATTGTCGTATTAAATATAAACAAAGTTTGTAGAATTTGATAACATTATTATAATTATTTTTCTAGGAAACTGCTGAAACCGAAGATGTTAAGGAAACTGTTAAAACTGAAGTAGAAATCGAAGTTGGGGCACCAATTTCTGAAGCTAATGGTGATGTTGAAACTATTGCCGATGAATTGTCTAAAACTCCGGTAGACGAAACAGCTACAGAAGAAGTTCAAGCATCTGCAGAAAAGAAGCGCAAGAAGAAAAAATCATGGTCATTCAGATCCCTCAGTTTCTCTAAAAAAGATAAATCTAAACCAGCAGTTAAGGAACAAGCCGCTGTTGATGTAAAGACCGAAACAGTTGAAGAGGTGAGATACAATACTTTTTAATTTTAAAATTAAATGTAGATAGATATTGTTAAACGATATCAAGTACTTTCAGTTATCTATACCTAAATGATTTCAGGGGCATGTCATGATTTTGTTT